TGGTCGAACGAGAGCGAAGCTTTCCGATTTCCACTTCGGCTCGATTTTTTTTTTTTTTTTTTGTTTTTTTCATTCAATCAACTAATTTCACGCGTGCAGCCCTGCAAACTTTACGTATTAAAGCCGCAAACAGCGATTCATTCTTCAAGTTGAAAACCGCAAGTGAAAGTAGCCTGGTGACGAAGGAACGATTATACCGGATTGTAATGAAATTACTATAGCAACATTGTTATCTATCATTCTTCTGTCTTCTCGACGGAAACGTCTCACTCGCGCGCTTTCGATCTCGCGTTCAGTCGGGAATCTCTTTTCATTCCTAATAACGCGCATGGACAGTTTCTTTTTAAAGTACAATTGAAATATATTACACGTCGTGTAATTACGTTACAATTATTATTACGTGTCGTTTAAACAGCCACGATTTAAACGAGTTTTCGTCGGACGACCTTCGAGTTTAATCACCTCTGACGCACGCTATCGCAAGCCGGCGGAAAAAGCAGTGTATAACGAACCTAAACGATCCATCAGCGTGCACGACGCTCCGAAGCGTCCCGTTGGTCCTCTGTGAAGCGCGTGTCTTTACATACCCACGAAGGCAGCGAAGTTATACAGGACGTTTCAGTATCTTCTCTCCCACTAAAATTTATCGACACACTCGACAAAAACGTGCTCGCCTCCTAAAATCTCGAAATTATGCGTAACATCGAAAGGAAAGATACGTCAAATTAAAAAGAAAAATAAAAGTCAGGATAGACATAATAATAACAAGAAGAAGCTTTTCATCAATTTCATTAATTCGTCAAAGAAAACCAGGAAGTGAAAGTCAATGATTCGAAACGAAAATTTCGTCAGAGAAGAACTCGATGAACACTTTGAAACGAAGTATAAATAGCCATTACGTTGATTGTCAATCTATTCTCGTCCCCCCCCCCCCGCCCCTGTCATCGCGGCCGTCAATTATTTCTCTTCGAACTTTTAATAACAAAGCTCCGATCTGTTATATAACGCGCGTGTTCTTTTCTTATTTCCTCTCGATCGCATCGGGCGAAGTTCGATCGGAGGGAAAAACTGGAGCACCGCATAGTTCCAAGTTACCGACTGACGTTCGTTCAACCCTTTTTCTCTCCCTCCCTCTTTCTTCTTTTTTTTTTTTTT